AGAAGTGAAATTTATATCTACTCACATAAAAAGAAATTCTCCAACTGAAGCTTAAAAATTTTGTCAGATTTATAAACTTTACTGTTTCAATATAACTCCTCTGTGCTTCTTTATAAAACAAAGATATGCCCAAGCTATTGAAATATTAACTAAGAAAGAACTAGATGTAATCTAGGAGTTGTCCTGCAATTAAAATAGAAACGGCTACAGAGAGTACTGTCAACTTGGGAAGACTGCAATTTGCTTTTGGTTCTCTTTCTAACTAATGACGCACTCAGAAAATGTTTGATTGTATATTTAGAAGCATGTAACAGACTTTATAAAATTTAAAATGCTTTTAATTGCTGCTGTTAGTGGTCCAGAAAGCTTCCAATGAATAAAGATTGGTTTAATGTTTCTTTTCTTTACCATCCCTCCCTTTTTAATATTATGATTTAAAAAGAAGTTATAAAATGTTGCTTTATGGCATCGGTGGTTGCATGCACAACCAAAGGAACAGACTCAAATTTTCAGTGATGTAGACTATCACTTTTATCCCACAGAAGTCATCACCCAAAGTTCTTGTAAAATGAGCATGTAGCTGATAAACTCAGGATTACCAGTATCTGAGAAAACTCAGGAAATTCACAACTTGCATGCTGTCCTTTTTAATATATTGGAAAAACATAGCAAGACATCTAAAAAAGAAACAAGTGATTAAAGAGGTCCACTTAATCTATATATGAGGAAATGAGAGATTATGAAGTGAGAAAAAAAGCTGGGAAAAACCTAATGTTTTATATGAACACCAAAATTATCCTAGACACCATACACTTATTATATTTGGGCAGGCTTCATTAGAACTAGAGTGGCTGTGATCCCTACATGAGTTACAGCTACTTCTGTTTAAACTCTTTTTAGCTGTAAACATGTTTATGAAACATATCAGTTTATTAACAATAAATGAAAGCCTTGTGAGGTATTTGTTATCATACATAAATTCCAAAGATTAAAATAGAAGAGTTCTCTTTCTAGACCCTTCCATTTTCCAATCTGTTAAAAATGTCTCTGACTTCTAGAGATAATTTCTGTATGGCAAAATGCTTACATTTTGATTCTTGAATAAGAAGGTCTCTTCATCCTTTCTTTGTTGACGTTAGAAAACTACAGATTATTGAAATATGCTTCTCTTTTCCAGACAATTTCTCCTATCAAGTTTCTTAAATTTAACTAGATGATATGACAGCCTTGTTAGAATTAGAGCATTTTTCACAATAAAATTTTACGAGGAATAATGTAAACTTGAAAAATTGTACTTCTATTATTATAAACAATTCCTCTGAGTCCTACCAATTAAAAGCACCCTTTCTTCAGTCTGTTTATCTTAAACAGCTGTGAGACACTATGTCAAGCCTTCTCTTCTCTTTATTTTCCACTTCTGTCAGCAGGTTATTTTTATTAGTAAGGACAGTGAGGAACATAAACAGTTGCTGTATAAAGAGTGTTGACAGTAGCTACCTAGCTGACTTCACACCACTTAGAATATTTTCAAACTTGAATATGTTTAAATAACTCTCTTCACACTTTTAAATATGCACCAATGAAAAGGCATTATTTTAGAAATACACATTCAACTCAGCCAAAGCAAAAGTGAGAATATTGCTTTAAACAAAGCTTGAACTGGGGAGACACTGATTTCCTGGAGCCACCCTGCCAGCAGCACCTGCTGGGACTGAGACACTCTAGGCAGAACAAACCAGCTAATGGCAGGCTCCGAGTGACAGGAGAGCAGCAGATGTTGTTTATATTGACTTTTGCAAGGCTTTTGACATTGTCTCCCACAAATTCCCCACAGACAAACTGATGAAGTACAGACTAAAGAAATGGACAGTGAGATAGACTGAAATCTGGCTGAACTGCTGGGCTCAAAGGGTTGTGATCAGCATGAAGTCTAGCTAGAGAAAAGTCTGCTGGTGTACTCCAGGGACCAGTACTAGGGCCAGTTCCATTTAACTAGCTCATTAATGACCTGGATGATGGGATACAGCGTGCTCTCAGCAAGTTTCCTGATGACACCCACTGGGAAGAGTAGCTCACAGACCAGCTGGTTGCTCTCAGAGGGACCTTGAAAAGCTGAACCGTAAACCAACAGGAGTTTTATGAAGTTCAGCAAAGGGAAATACAAAGTCCTACACCTAGGGAGGAACAACCCCAAGCACCAGAACAGGATGAGGGATGATCAGCTGGAAAGAGGTTTTGCAGAAAAACACCTGGGGGGTTGTAGTAGATAGGGACAGGCGAACGGAAGATTTCGGGATGTGACGGAAAGAAAGACCCCTTTCCCCTTTTCCCCTTGCACCTTTTTTTTCTTTACCCCAAAGAATGTAACCACACCTAACCCAGTAGTTTTCCACTCCTGACTAACCCTAGAGACCCTACCAACCCCTCCTGACGTAGCGGAGTCCCCCAAGACTATTTAAACCCATGAGATAAGATAATAAACGCTTTCGACCGTCCACCACACTGGTGCCTGCGTGTGTCGTTAGCCCGAGTGGCCCAGGGGAGACTGGGCTGCCGTGCTGTTCCTTGCAACCAGGTCGCTGTTGTCTTCCATGAAGGCAACAGGGGGTCCTCATGGGTTCCAAGTAACACCATAAGCCAGCAGAGTACCCTTGCAGCACAGAAAGCCAAAAGCATCTTGTGCTGCATTTGGAAAATATGTTGTCAGCAGGTCAAGATCAAGATCATTCTGCTCCACTCAGCACTGCTGAGACATGCCTGAAGGGCTGTGTCCACTCATGGGCTGCCCCAAACAAGCAAACATAAGCATCCCAGAGTGCAGTGTAGGACTGCCAAGACAATTGAGGGATTGGAGCATCTGAATGGTGAGCCTGAAAGCACTGAGACTCCAGCCTGGAGAAAGCTGCAAGAGATCTTAGCAACATGTATAAATACCTGAGGGGGACAGGGGTAAACAACACTTCTCAGTGGTGCCCAGCAACAGGGTGAAAGGCAATAGGCACAAACTAAAACAGATTAAATTCCACCTAAACAAAAGAAAGCCCTTTTCTATCCTATGGTTGCTCAACAGCTATCCAAGAAGCAAGCTGCTTGATCAGGGCAGGTGTTGGACTAGACAATCTCCAGACACCCTTTCTATCCAGGTATCCAATGATAGAGACAAAAAGAAGGCATATTCATCTAAGTAATATAGACTGTGGGCTTGATGTCTGTTGTTTTCTATGCACATACCAAGCCTTCAATAACACTAACAGTTTCCTGTGCCTGACTTCATTATATGAAGTTGTTTACTTGACTTAGGAAAAGCACCATTGTGCAGATACAACAAAGTAAGTTCTTTTTCTCTCCCATGATTTTTCTAATGCCCAAGCCCGCAGGTCTAAACAGTATGAGAACCTAACACAGAGATAAGGCAATGTATTTGTTTTTGCCAGTCAAATATTTTACCTTATCGTCTATTGAAATGTCCATTTGTATCAGCAAACTTCTGTCACTTTAATGAATTTCTGTGTGTCTCCTCCAGCCAGTACTCAAGCTATTTTAACCAAAACAGAGCAATGGAAAATCATCCTTCTCCTTTGATAAAGCCTTTTCTCTCACATCAAAGTATTGACACTTTTGTTTCACAACCATAGGAAAAATAAGAGGAAGCAAGAGAACGTCACACAGAAAAGTTAGAACATCTCATTCAGGAAGAGCAGGCACCTGTGCACTGACCCAATTAGGCATTCAAACACTTGTCACTTTGGAGCTGGCTGGTTGTCACTCATCCAATTAGCCCCAGGGGATGTATTGTATGGTGGCATTCCCTGACAGGAGAACTGGAGCAATGGAGGCAATGAAGGCACAGTGATAGGGTGCCAGGATCCTGGTGAGCCAGAGCAGCCAGTAGCAAAGCCAAAGAACTTCACAGCTTCCTCAACTTGTTTACCATCCAAAAAGCCTTTCAGAATCTTCAATGGTAATTTTTTTTTTTTCAGAGCAGTCTAGTTTAAAAACCTTACAGTAACAGTTCTCTTTATCCAATGATGCATTTAACTCCTGAGAGACTAACACAAGAACCATTTCAGAAGAGGTAAAAAATAAACAAGCAAACAAAGTATCATCATTGCACGGAGAGATGCACTAAATGTTACTTTCAGTAACACTGCCAGCAGGTAATACAGAAGTCAAAATGCTTCAGTGACCATCTCCTCCCTTCACTGTTTTAAATATATTACTGATGCTTTCAGGAGCTCTGTCTGCTTGACCACGTAAATGAGGGATAAAACACTTTACAACCATCCACGACTACATACTGTAGGGATAGAAAAGTTCTGTTCTACTGAACTACATACTATACCACATTCAAGATCCCCAAATAAAATTTTTATTTTCAAGAAAATCAGATACTAAACCACAGAGACTATTCAGCAGCCACTGCCCACTTCCAGTAAAGCTATTACTCCTCTTATGCTGAGAGTTATGCAGTGCAAACACAAGAGCAGGGAGGAGCTCAAGAGGGACTAGGAAAAGGTGTTAATACCTAAACCATTTGAGCAAAGATTTCAGAACGGTCCCATCACTAAATCTGTGGTCTATGCTAGAAGAAAAAACTCCCCATTTTTTGGTACAATATTTCATGTTCCTTCTAAGTCCATTTTTCCAGACTCACTGTTTCACTAGTTGACTTGCCCTGACACCTGTTCTCTCCAGTATGGAACATCAGAGATGATTAAGGCTACCTGCAATTATGTGAAACTATGAAATATTTTTAGCTGCTTTTCTAGTTAACATATTTTAATATGTCCTTCAGTTAAAATCTGAGCTGAAATGAAGAAAAAACAACCTAACATAAATCACAGACTGTTAATTCAAACAAACATGAAAATGCAGGTAAATGCATAAGATGTTATATGACTATCATGGAAACCTAAGAGATAGAAACTCAGTGCCAGTAGCTTAGGCTTTTTTCCCCACTTAGCATGGGAAAATAAAATTTAGATGGAAAATTGTCTTACCTTTGTAAAAATAACTTCTGAGAAAGTTGGTCTCTCTCTTTACTTCTCCTCTTTTTCTTATCTCCTGTGTGACAGGTCTTTATGTTACTGCCTTGCCTGAAAAAATAACATACAACCTGAAATATTTATAGAGGTAAATAATTACATTCACTCTTAAACTACAACAAACACTTCATACATGTCTTCATAAAGCTGCAATACTAAATTCAGTTAAGTCAAATGAAATGGTATTTTAGTAGTAGCTAATTAATGTATGTTGGGCCAAAGAAAAAACAAGAAGCATTAGAAAGAAAAGCAGCTCCCTAGGTTTCAAAGCTGTGTTTTGTATTCAGCTCTCCAAAACAGCCACTTATATCATATCAAACTAGAGCAATCATGGTTTGTCTAGGTTCACTACCCCATTAGTGATAACCAGTCAGTGCTTCACACAGCTTGAGCAAGACTATCAGGAACCTTAACCACTTGTTTTCAGTGGTCAGTAACCCAGCTTAAGGCACACTGGCTACCTCAGGAATAAACACTTCAGTACTCTTTGTGCCATGGGTGCCCAAAGTTCTAAAGACATCCACTGGAAGAGGTGGATGCAAAATGGGAAATGGAAATGTTTAGTTACAAACACCACTTGCCCAGGAAGAGAGGGCTGTGACTTCAGGGAAATTTGTAGTTTGTCTTAACTCCTACTTTTTAGGAAAACATCCTAAATTCTATTAGAACAATGGGACTCACATCCTCTGCTTCCCTCCTCCCCAATTTAAAAGTACAAAACAAAGAAAGAGAAGACTGCAGGAGAGGTTTGTTTTGAATTCAGTTGCTACCTTCTTCATTTATTGACAAGAATTCTGCAGCCAGTTCCTCTCATCTCTTATTTTCTGTTACTTTAACCTATTTTAAACACATTTAATGTTTTGTTGAGAACAAGTTGCCTCTCTTTCCATAGTAGTGCACATGAGGAGTCAAACTTTCAAGTAAGCAAAGTTCAAGGACCAGGAATTTTGAAAGTGAGCTTCAAAAACATTCTGAGGAGTCCCCTTATAGTCTTTTAGCTTTACGCCTTGCTTATCTGCAAACTCAGCCATGCTTGTCACAATATCCTATCCATACTTCAGTGAACTGGTGATGAACTTCAGTGAACAGCAACAAATTAGCATCTCTGCTGCACCTGTTATTTTGTGTCCTGTACTGTCGCTGTTGAGGCAGGACGGGGATAATGAAGACTCTAAGCCAGAAGGCTACAAAAACTGAACTAAACTGATTTATTTCAAATACATCACTCTTTTTATAGAGAACATCATGCAGACCAATTTCACTGGCCTAAAAACAAAAACATCTCACACCATTCGTGTGTGCTGAATGACGCATGGTGGCAGAACATATCTATAAACAACATGAACAAAGAGAGAGAGTGAATTAATTATTTACATTACTTTCAAACTCTTTCCCAGGCCCAGCCTAGTAGAGATCTCTCCTTTTCTCTCTGACTGAACTGAGAATATCCATTTTGTACATAAAAACATATACATTTTATTTTTAGGAAAGGAATTAATGTTTGTTTAGTCTTAACTGCAGATTGGTGCTGCTCAGCTAACAATGGTGATACAGGAAGATCAGTTTGATTTCTCATCAAATTGATAATTGAGTCATACAGTTTCTTTCCATATACTTTTAAAAGCCTTTTTATTGTTAGATTGGCCTGCAAACTGTTGACTAGAACTCTCTTGTAGCTATTTCTTTCAGTAACAAGTAATACATCTCATAAATTGCTTTTTATCATGCTTTTCCAAAACAACTTGTTGCTCTTACATAACGAAACATTGGAAACAATACATTTTCTTTGTAACATCAGGAGATTTTGCATACATATATAATTTATTTCACTGGGGTGAAATTCTCTTAGGAGATTAACTTCATTGCCTTAATCTTTATTCAGGCACTCAAATCACTTCCTACCCCCTGCCTCTATATTCAGCTGGAAAAGCTGCCTGCAAACCAGCAGGACCTGGATGAGCCAAAGTCAACACAGAACTTGCGTGCAGCTCCTAATTGACCACAGCACAGCCTGACATTGATCACACAGCTCCCGTTACACCAAGGCACCAGCCACATCCACCCTGCCACTCATGCTGCTTCCTGGCTGGTTCCATCCCCCAGCTGTCTCCAAGGCAAAACCTGAGTGTGCTTTAGGGAATGTTCCAGCCTGGAGAATCCTTCCAAACAACAGCATGGGTAAGACTGCCTTAAGTTTTGATTCTCCACTCTTGACATCCCTGAAATTCTCATGTTCCAGGCACTGCATCCTCATGTGTAGCCTCTGCCTGCTTCCATGGTACCCACTGGAGCAGACCCCAGGATTTACAGTATTAGCCTGTAACATCGTGACTTTGGTAGGCTGCAACACAGCTCCCACTATCCCAGGTGCTCTGAACTAAAAGGTACCAGATGCTTATCAGGGCTGCAGGAACACCACAGCACCCAGACTACACACAGATTATGGCCAGCCTTCTTTTTTAAGACTCATTTTCTAAAGCATTGAAATGCAGATGTAGCCCAGCCCTTGCCAACCAGCCTACCTTGATGACAGGTGTTTGTCCCTGTCTTCTTGTTTTTGTCATTTAAGAACAACTGTAGCCTCAAGAGCATTGTTTAAAAGTTAGGCATGTTCTGAAACCCAGGGATGATTTGTATAAGTCCTCATATACAGCAGAAAACCACAGCTATGTTGACACCACAAGTAATCTTTTCAAGACTTATAAGATTCACTAAAAGAAGAGAAAAAAACGAGTAGGAAATAAAAATCAAGGATGAGAGTAAAAATGATTGTTCTGCAACAGGTTCATAGATTAGATGAAATATGTTTTAAAATTTATGAGATACATTTGGAGTCATATAATTTGCTTGGTCACTAGCATATTGTGGAAATGTAAAGCACACTTTTTGATTTTCTGCTCCTGACATTATGCTTACTGAATACTTATTTGTTCAGCTATTCATGAAATAACTGCAATTTACACAGTATTGTTCTTTTTCTTGTAGAAGTGTTCATAGACTTCAGGAAACCTAAATTTAGAAAAATAAGTACATAGATTCCAATAGGTAACTATCAAAAAGTTCAAATGTGAAAAATCCAAAATCCAAAAATTCCATTTTTTATTTCATAATCTGATTGGCTAAATGCTTTTACATGCAATGTACTCAAAAATATTCTTTAAAATCTCAAGATACTTTAATATTTTCATGCAACCTTAAAAAGCAATAGTGAAACAATATGCAGCTTTCTCATAAAATGAATACTGTATCTAGATACACATATATATAATTCAATTTCTGTTTACTTTACAATACTGTGCAAAGTTGTCTCATATAAAATATTTGCTTTGTGATATTTAATGTATTTAAGCAGAGTTTTATGCAATCTGCAAGTACTGCAGAGTTCCATTGTTCAGCCTTGTATAATTTCTTCTTTCAGAGCTAAGGATTAATGAGGAGCTCTCAGAAAAGGAGAAAGCACCCTGGTTAGTTGAGGGGGCAGTGATCAATCTTGCTGTCATATCTATCTTATTTCTGGGTGTGCCCCATCCCAGATGATTCTGCCAAAGTAATAATGGAAAAAAATACATTGTAAATACAGCAAAGGTAGCTTTTTGGTTTTTTCATTACTGATACACACACCCTCATGAAGACACTTCCTAGAGTGGGTAGTCCTGCCTAGATTATATTAGCATCTGCAAGAACAACGCCAAAATTTTACACATATTATACTAATAAAAAGAGAATACAGATTCCATCTGATCTTTAATATGTTGCAAAGTCATGCCCTTCCTTCATGGATATAAATTATAACCTCATTCTTTCAATTCCTAGACTATTAATCAAAGTTCAGTGTTTCAGTAAGTTACATAGTGTAGGTTTATTCTCCTGTTCAAAGTTATAACTCAAATTTTTTCATGGTACTTCATTCCAATAAATCAAACTAACACTAAGGTACATAAATCTCAACTATCTGAGTGAGCGGGAAGTACCAGGATAGAGAAGGGAACTCGGCCATTACCTTGTGCGTGTAGCTATACAGCTGTCATGGTCCTCTTCCTTTTTTGGTGGGTTACTTTTTCTTTTCTTCCTTTTAGCAAGTGGTAAGAATTTGTACCATGCTCTCCTTCATGTTGCAAGCTTGACAAACCTGGGGTGCTGAGCTGTGCTGTTGCTGGCCGGTGTGCAGGGGCACGCACAAGAGGGGCCGTTTCCAGCGCTTTGTCCTCGGCCCTCCCAAGCTTCTGTGTGATCAGCACAGCCTTTGTGGCCATACAATAGGGGTTAAACATTTCCCTGTACTTATAGAACAGCAGAGCTAAATCTGCTTAGCTGCACGAACCTTTTAATAAAATTATGCTCACGCTATTAGGGCATTTTCCTATTTGTTTGGTTTTTTAAGAGTAATTAAATTTTTTTAAAAAACAAAAACCCCCTGACATATATATAGGGTTTTTCATGTTTCATATATGTAGTGCATAACAAATGCAATCAACATTAAGATTTTTCTCCAGATCTTAAACACAATTTCCTTTCAAACAGCTACCTGCGACTTGCCTATATACTTAAAGATATAGTTTAATTTCTCCTTTACATTTATTCTACTTGATGATTTGCCAGTGGGACAATCCCCTATCTCCATCCAACAGGGTGTCTAAGAGTCAGATCGCTGCAAAAACTATAATCTGTACTCAGCGGTGAACTTCCAATTCAAGAATGTAAAACTGTACTGAGAAATAAAGGCAAACATTTTAAAGAGCCAAATGTGCTAGCTCACAGTCCTACAGACACTGATCTCATACACCACATGAGCCTCTGGACCACCCTTCCTTTCCAAAGAACTACCTCGAAGTAACACTGGTACAGAAAATTAACATTTTTTCAACTCTTAAAGAAAGAAGCTCTGTTTAAAACTTTCTGTTTCATTCTGTTACAAATCCAGGTTTTTCCCTTTGAGGTTTTTGGGTTTGTTTGGGTTTTGTTTTTTTTGTTTGTTTGTTTGGTTTTTTTGGGGGGGGGTGTTGGGGTTTTTTTGGGGAGTATTTTTTGTTTGGTTTTTTTGTTTGTTTGTT